GGAAGACCAGAGACAAGGACACGGGAGGCCATGCCTCGGAGACGAGGCAGGGAGGGGTGACCAAGGCGGTGGTGCCAGAGGAGAGTCTCGTGAGACAGGAGGCGACACGAGCAGGGGGCAGACTCAGGACCAGACCTGGACGCTGCAGCAAACACCTGACCCGACGCAGCTGCCTGACCAGACGCAGTGACTGGAGGAGACTCAGTGGTCAGTGTGTACAGGCTCGACCCCGGCCGACGTGTAAACGTGGCCAAGTGTCGGCCCGTCCGAGCGTCCGTGCAGTGGGTCACACGCTGGCTCGCAGGAGTGAACTGGTGAACCCCCGCATCCTGTAGGTCAGCACCACTCACCAAGTTCGTAGAGAACGAGGGGAGGTAAAGACCAGACAGGGTGCCAGAGGGGGCCGCCGGACACGGGAGGACAGTGGAGAAGTGAGCAAGGACAGGACCCCCAGAGGGGTCTGCCAGAGAGACTGCAACTGGCTGACCAAGCGGCGTGAGTGTGGTGCGGTCTCGAAAGAAGGAGCGAGAAGCCCCCGAGTCAAGAGTGAAGGTGTGGGAGGCCGGAGCCGACGCAGTACCTGAGAGAGCAGACTCACCAGCACCTGAGGAAGCAGACGCACTGGCACCTAGAGCAGCAGCCTCGCTAGCACCTAGAGCAGCAGCCTCACCAGTACCTAGAGCAGCAGTCCCAATGCCCGGGTCGGGCGGAAAACACCAGTAACAGTCACCCTCATCACTAATAGTCACAGCATACATGGCAGCAAGAATAGCATCAAAGTCAAGGTCAAAGATAGCTACTCCCGCCCTAGACAGCTCGCCCCAGCGAGGGATCTCAGTGGCCTCAGGGAACTGGTGACGCCAAGCGTCCGTCAGGCGGCCAAAGCAGCGCTGGGTGGAGTGCGCACCCCCGCACGGCTCACCCGCGCGGTCGCCGGTGCGTAGGATGTAGGTGCACGGACCAGTACCCCCACCCCGCTGGCGTGCAGCATACCACTCACGAAGCTGCTGAGGGGGGGGGATCTCACGAGTGCGCTGCTGCTGCTGCTGCTGCTGCTGGCGCTGACCACCACCGGAGCCGACCCTCTGTGCAGCGCCACCCCGACCAGCTCCACCTCCTCCGCCGCCGCCTCCTCCACCGCCGCCACCTCCGCCACCTCCGCTCCCACCGCCACCGCCGCCGCCGCCTCCGCCTCCACTGCCGCCACTGACGCCCCCACCCCCGCCACCACCCCCACCGCCACCCCCACCCCCTCCGCCGCCTCCACCGCCGCCTCCACCGCCCCCGCTAGCTCCTCCAGCGCCCCTGCCCCCCTTGCCCTTGCCAGTGCGGCGTCTCCCGCTAGGGGCAGACGCCGCACCGACCGACTCAAGACCAACGAGGTCGGCCGCAGCAGCAGAGGCAACAGAGGGCAAGAGAGGAGAGGGGGAGCACCCCTCAAAGACAGGGGCACGAGGGTCACCACGAGAGGCTCCTACAGCGACTATGCTCTTCTCTGCTGCTAGGAGGCGCTCCTCGAGGAGGTCAACGGTGAGGGTGGTGGGGCAAACAGAGAGAAAGTGGTCCCTGACCGGGCGAAGGGTGTCAGGGAGCCGGGTGACTACGTAGTAGAGGGTGATGTACATAGGGGGGGGGTTCTTGGCGCAGAACTCAGGAGGAAGGGCAGCGCGGTAGCGAGTGTCACTAGTGCGCAGGTGCGTAATGAGGTCAGCGACTGTGGGAAAAGCGGCGAGGTCAGGGAAGAGGTACGGCAGGATGAGGCGGCTAAGTGCAGCAGTGGCAGGGGAAGAGTAGCGTGCAACTACAGCGTCGTACAAGGTCTTAGCACTCTTGTACTGACTAAAGTGTGCACGCTCAGCGGTAGGCAAGTGGCGGCGCACAGGAAGACGGGCAGCAGCGTCGCGTGTGGCCCACTGTGAGCGAACAGTGGCGTCAGCATCAGCAGCAGCGGCAGAAGAGGCACCAGAAGTGAGGTCAAAGAGAGAGAGACCGTCTGCCCTGTCGCACTGTAGGAAAAGCTGCAGGTCATCTACCCAGACGTCAAAGTCAATGGCCCGACCCTCAGCGTCAAAAGCGAGGACACTGGGGGTAGCCATGACAGCAGTAGACTAGCAGCTGGAGCAGTAGGGTAAGGGCAGCGCAGTGGTAGAGGTGCCGCTCTTACCGGACAGGGCGGCTCGGGCGGCTCGGCGGCTCGGCGGCTCGGCAGCAACTGCAGCTCGGCGGCTCGGGCGGCTCGGGCGGCTCGGGCGGCTCGGCGGCACGGCGGCTCGGCAGCAACTGGAGCTCGGCGGCTCGGCGACTCGGCGGCTCGGGCGGCTCGGGTGGCTCGGGCGGCTCGGCAGCAGCGGCGGCTCGGTAGATCGGCGGCTCAGCGGCGCCGGCGGCTCGGTGGTGACGGCGGGGCCGCGTGGGGACGGCGGCGGGGCCAGGTGCGGCGGCGACGAGGCCGCTGAGGGCGGCGGCGGGGCCACGAAGGGTGGCGACCGGCGCCTTAAGGGTGGGGCCGCGGGGTCGCAAGGGTGGGGCGACGGGGCCAGCAGAGGCGGCGCCGGGGCCGGGAAAGGCGGCGCCGGGGCCGGGAAGGGCGGCGCCGGGGCCGGGAAGGGTGGCGCCGGGGCCGCATGGGTAGGCGACGGGGCCGCGAGGGCGGCGTGGAGGGGTCGCGAGGGCGGCTCGAGGAGGCCGCGAGGGCGGCGCGAAAGGGCCGCGAGGGCGGCGCGAAAGGGCCGCGAGGGCGGCGCGACGCGACGGGACCGCGAGGGCGGCGCGACGGGGTCGCAAGGGCGACGCGACGGGGCCGCTAGGGAGGCGCGACGCGACGGGGCCGCTGAGGCGGCGCGACGGGGTCGTAAGGGCGGCGCGACGGGGCCGTGAGAGGGGAGCGCGACTCGGGCAGAGGCTGAGCGCGCTCCGGGCAGGAAAAAAATGTTGGTGGGCCCTAGGAACAGTTCCCACAGGGGAACCTGCTCTATACCATGTGGAAATGAACGAGGAATGAAAAGACTAAGGGAAAGTTGGGTACAAGTACAAACCCTAGAAAGCTGTACCCCATATGTGCTACCCCACTATAGCCTATAGCAGCTAAGTCATATAAATCTGACACGGTTGGGTCGGGCGAGCGGCGTGACCTGTCAGTAGAGGGCCCGTCTGCTACTGACTCCCAGCGTTTCCCTGCTGCTTGGTCTGTTTCTGCTGCTCAGCTTCCCCCTTTCCCTTAGCGTTTTCCGGGCATTCGCTCTTGCGATGTCCCGGCCGATTGCACGCAAAGCAGCGCCCTTTGAATGGTGCGGCAGCGGCATTTGCGGCGACGGCACGTATCGTGGCGCCCTCGTTCGTCCCACGAGGCCGATGTCCCCAATGGCTGCTTCCGTAGGACCCCGGTATCGGTCGGCGGAAGAAATCAAGTTTCTCCGCCATAGCGAGAATTTCTTGAAAGTCGGTGACGCCGCGAAGCTGGATTTCCTGAGCGATGTCCTGCTTCAGGCCGCCGATGTAGCGGTCGATGCGCTCGCTCTCGTGCATATATCCCACCTGCTCGCATAGCGCCAGAAATCCGCTCGTGTAATCTTGGACGGAACCGAGTTGGCGCCAAGTGCGGAGCTTCTGTCGCGCCGCGATCGAAGCCGCGATTGGCTCGAAACGAGCGCGTAGACCTGCGCACCACGCGTCCCACGTGCGATACTGGGGCACCTCCACAAAATACGACGGCGCCCAGGGTCCGGTTTGTCCTTCCCGTGTCGGTAGAGTCGCGTAGTCCACCGGCTTCGTGACGATGACGCGCCACCAGTCCATGGCGGGTCCTCGCAGCAACGACACGGCGTAGCGAATCTTCGCCGTATCCTCCGAGACGTAGTTCGCGTCGAAGAAGACGTTCAACGTGAAGAGCCACGCCTGAACGGTAGGACCACCCCGCTGACTTGGGTCAAAGCATGGCGGACGCTGCGGCTTTAGCGGCATCGGCGACGGAAGAGTTGATCCGCCGGCCGGCACTGAAATCGTGATTTGAGGCTGAGTCCTGGCCGCATTCGTCGCGTCGGGGTGTGTCGTGCCGTGGTCGCCGTCTCCGTCATGGCGGACGATGCCATCACTTGCGGCGCTCGCGGGTTGCCCTACACTTCCGTGCTGTGATGTTTGTGGTGCGGGCTGAATCGGAGTGCCAGATGCTTGGGATTGTGCTCGTGTGAGGTCGTTTTGCAGGGACGAGCGTTCTGCCGTCAGCGTCGCGATTTCCTCGGCGCTCTCGCGGATTTGTCGCAGCAGATCGTTCAAGTGCTCCTGCGTGAGAGTCGTGACGTCGATGTGTTCAGCCATTTCGAAGGGCGTCGGCTCGTCTTAGTCTAGGCGCAGTCGTGGCTGCACGCGTTTACGAGAGAACGCAAGGACAGCGGCTCCTAGGTGCTAAGGTACGTGAGTCCCTTCGAGTGAAAAATCAAAAGTTGATTTCCTGGGGTGCGGAGATGCGCGGTCCGAAAGAAAGGGGCTCTGAATACCAAGTGTTACGGGTGCAATGAATCGAAGTAGCGAGAATTGCACTAAGGTGTCAAAACGAGTACAAAGATGTGAGCGAAGGCATGAGCGAACATTTATACGCGAAACATGCAAACGGTAACGCGGTGCGTGCGAGCTAGCTAGTGCTATGCTGGCTGGCAGCGAGGCTCGGGCTAGTCTTGAAGCGTAGGCCGACACGGCCGGGCCAGCAGTGCGAGGTTTGGCAAAACAGTGCGCGCGAAGTTGGCGAAGTCCCGTTAGCAGTAACGGGCGAACAACGGCTGTTGCTGTACGCGATGTAGTCGGGCTCCGTAAGGAATGCCGAGAAAATTCCTTACACGTAGACGTTTCTGGAGTCCAAGCCTGAGTTCGTACTCGTTAGTAGATTTCAGCTCCAGCTGCCACTGCCCATTACCACTCTACAATCCCCCATACGCCGCCATTCCACTTCTCCATTCCCTAGTGAAATCACCTTTTCTCCCTCACGTGTGCACACTATCTTGCCCACAATGGCGTCCGCACTCGCCCTTCACCTCGCATGCGCTCCGCTCGCTTCTCTCGCCATCGCTTGCACCCCGTCCAGCACTCCGCCGCAATTCGCGACCGCGCGTCACGCCACCATAGTCGCGACTCGTCCTGCGTCCGCTCGTGATCTGCCTCGTCGAAGGTACCAGTGCAGCGAGGCCGACTCGACACTTACCCCCTTGCATTCTGATTCCGAGTCCACTTGGAGAGGCCAGCGAGGGTGCTTTCGGACGTCGCCTGGCGACCGCGCGACGCACACCGTGCGGCGCACGGTGCGGCGTACGGTGCGGCGCACGCTTCCCGTCCTCTCCCGCCTCACGTGCTGCACCAATCGGTTTCTGAAACCTCGCTGTAACTACCAACTTGTTTTCTGCTTGATTTACATCCCTCCCGCATCCCCCCCCCCCCCCCCCCCCCCCCTCCTCCACCACCACCCCACCCCTATTTCCTTCCCCCCCCATTCCCCCCTCTTCGTTCCGTTCGCATCCTCTTGTTTCTCCTCTCGTCAGATACCGCGTCGGCCTCGCTCGCGCCGCCAACGACGGCGCGCCAGCGGTCACGAGCGTGTCAGTGGGCGAGGCGCGTGAGCTGGTGGCGGCAGGCCACACGTACCTGGACGTGCGGTGAGGCTTAGGCTTGTGTGTGTGCGTGTGTGTGTGTGCGTGTGTGTGTGTGCTTGAGAGTTGCTCCTGAGAAGAGAAACAGTGGAAGAAAAACAATCGTCCCTCTGACTCGAGAGGCGGCCTGATCTGATCCTGTCCTCCCCGCCCCACTCCTGAATCCTGAATTTGGCTCCTGAATTCCGTAGTCGGAAACCTTAACCCTGGATGCTCGGATCCCCAATCCTGAACTTGTTATGCAAGAGGGATCAGTTCGTACGCCACGCCACGCCATGCCATGCCATGCCATGCCATGCCATGCCATGCCATGCCATGCCATGCTATGCCATGCCATGCCATGCCATGCCATGCCATGCCATGCCATGAAATGTTAAATCATCCCTTGTTAGCCCATGCCCAACCACGCTCTTCCATCAGAACGCCAGAGGAGTTCCGGGCAGCACATGTGGAGGGAGCAGTGAACATCCCCTTCATGCTCAAGTCGCCCTCAGGTCTGTCTGACTGTCTGTCTGCCATGCATGCCATGCCACCGTGCCACCGTGCCCATGCAATCTTTGCCGCCATGCGTCTTCCTGCCTCTCACCACAACCTCTCATCATCCATCTCGTGTCGTTGACTTCTGGAGTGAGACCCACATCCGGTCATTCTGCAACAGCCAGTCCCAACTGTTCCCATGCCATGTCTCTGCCATCATCATGCCATGTCTCTGCCATCATCATGCCATGTCTCTGCCATCATCATGACATGTCTCTGCCATCATCATGCCATGTCTCTGCCATCATCATGCCATGTCTCTGCCATCATCATGCCATGTCTCTGCCATCATCATGCCATGTCTCTGCCATCATCATGACATGTCTCTGCCATCATCATGCCATGTCTCTGCCATCATCATGCCATGTCTCTGCCATCATCATGCCATGTCTCTGCCATCATCATGCCATGTCTCTGCCATCATCATGCCATGTCTCTGCCATCATCATGCAATGTCTCTGCTATCATCATGCCATGTCTCTGCCATCATCATGCCATGTCTCTGCCATCATCATGCCATGTCTCTGCCATCATCATGCCATGTCTCTGCCATCATCATGCCATGTCTCTGCCATCATCATGCCATGCCATGGGTGCGTGCAGGCATGGTGAAGAACGATGCCTTTGTCGCTGACGTCAAGTCACAATTCGATGAGGACACTCCACTCGTCGTGGTAACTGCCATGCCATGCCTTGCCTTGCCATGCCATGCCATCACCATACGATAGCATACTACCATACCTTGCCACACCATTCCATATCATACCATTCCATACAATACCATACCATACCCTACCATACAGTACCGCACCATGCCATGTCATGCCATCCGTGCCGTGCCGTGCTGTGGTCACTTGCGAGTCACAGCATTGTTATGCTGCGTCCTCAACCCCCATGTGCACCAAGCACCTCTACCAGCTGCCTTGGCTCCTTAGAAGCCTTGTCTACTCCATTTTGATTCCACAGCATCCAAAGCTGTTGTGTCATTTCCCGTCCGTGATGTGTGTTGTGTTGTGCTGTGCCATGTTGTGCTGTGCTGCCCCATCTGCTGCCATGTGCTGTGCTGCCCCATCTGCTGCCATGTGCTGTGCTGCCCCATCTGCTGCCATGTGCTGTGCTGCCCCATCTGCTGCCATGTGCTGTGCTGCCCCATCTGCTGCCATGTGCTGTGCTGCCCCATCTGCTGCCATGTGCTGTGCTGCCCCATCTGCTGCCATGTGCTGTGCTGCCCCATCTGCTGCCATGTGCTGTGCTGCCCCATCTGCTGCCATGTGCTGTGCTGCCCCATCTGCTGCCATGTGCTGTGATGCCCCATCTGCTGCCATGTGCTGTGATGCGAGCAGGCCTGTCAGGGAGGGGTGCGATCCATCCGGGCTGCTGCAGAGCTGCAGAATGCGGTGAGGGCTGTAACCTCCCCCATCCTCCATCTCCCTTCAACTGCTCTTTGACTTCCGCCAAATAATGTTCCCTCTTGCCGTTTTTCTCCTGCCGCCTCTGGTGTGTTACTCCAGTGTATCACAGCTATCGCAGCCATTGTGCATGGTGGAGGCTATAATTTAAAACGGCCCAAACTTATATCAAACCGTATCCACTCCTTCCTCTGCTCTTCAAATCTTCCGCCTCTCAGCCGCCATTGCTCCCATTTTCCACATTCCCCTTCCCACCTCTCCCACCACCCACTCCTCCCCACGCTGCTCCCTGTGGCCTCCCAATCCTGACAGGGCTTCTCGGGCATCACGGACATGCTCGGGGGCTTTGCAGCCTGGCAGCAGAAGGGCTTCCCCTCTGTCTTCTGATCAAATCTTGTGGGAGAGCGGGAGTTTTGAATCTCCTCACAAGGCGGCTTGCGAGGCGCCTCAATCGTCGTCTACCAAGCTGCATGGCAGCACAGCTTGCCCTCTGTATCCTGATTACCGTACGACTCGTTTTCGTAGAGACTGGGATGGAAGCAGATTAACAAAGGTGGATTGGGAGAGAACTGGATGAGTCTTCCTCATGATCAGGGCTTCAGATTCGTTTTGGGCCACCCTTAGTAATCAGGGTTCTAGGTATAGTCAACCCTGATGCCTAGGGTAAAATTTTTGTTTCCCTGGCAAAAGCAGGGTAAAAAATCTGTAAGTCTGTTTGCAACAACTATACTTTATATTGTCGCCAAATTCAGCACTTAGTGGCCCTGTTGGTTATGTTGCGGCTCGGGTCTGAAAGGCTGCGGGTTCAAATCTCGCTAATGGGATCGTTTTGCTTGTAGGGGCCCGCATAGTGTTTCGTCTCGCTACGGAGCATTCGGTCCCATTATTACTGGGATTGTACACTGTACAGTCAGGAAAATAAGTTCCTTACGCTGTTTTTCAAAGGGTACAAAACAATTTTCACTTTCTGGCCTAGGGTAAAAAATCCACTACCCTGTCTGTGAAAGGGTAACTGAAAAAAAGCGGCCGCCAGTCAGTGCAAAAAGGGTATTTTACCCTGATAACGAGAGCCCTGCTCATGATTTGAAATGCACAGGAGGGCAGTTGGATTAGTGGCAACTCGTTCCTGCTGTCAGTCATGAAGCTTGTTACGAATAGTAATACTTAAATATTACTGTGCACTCCTCACCGTAGCAAAGCCGAAGCACGCACTATCGAGAGTGAAGACGAAAAGGTAGAAGAAAGGCGAAGGGACAGACGGTTACGAGGAGCATCTGGACCGTCGGGCAGACAGCATCAGGCAGCAGCAGTGGCGAGGATTCTGCCCGAACAGTTACGTAACCACTCGGAGTCGCACGGTTGGATTTCGCTGCAGTAAGGGAACGTACCCCTTAGAGTACATGGCTAGTTAGGTCGTTTCGAATTCCCCTGTACTCATATTTATATTCCTTGTACTGCACGTGTTTATTATCTCAAAGCATTTTACATTCACTCTGCTATTGAGGTCAAGGGCCCACCAACATCACTTCTCTGCGTGCGAACCTTCCTGAGTAGATCCTAGGCCACGATCAACTTCTGATCGCAGCATGGTATGAGAGCGACTCAGGAATCCTTCGCACCGCCATCCCCGAAATCTGCGACATTCGGAAAGTGGCATCCGGCACACGATCGCGTGTAAGAATGGCCGGAGGATCTGGAGGTCAGACGAATCTGACGGCTGAAGCGCAACCCAACCCGGCTGCAACAAACGAGGAAACGACGACGATTCCTTCCGCCGTCCTCGCACAACTGCTTCAGCGACTCACGAGCCTGGAGCAAGGGCTCCAGACATTGCGGAATGGCGATGCGGGAACCTCTTCCCAACCTACTCAACCGGCCTCAAACGGCCAGAACTCCGCCCTGCAAGGCTTCTCTCTCGATACGAACGGCTCAACCCCCAAGACTTCGTGTCGCAGCGATGAAGCAATTCTCTCAGCGCAATCAAGGTTTTTGAGCATATCAAAAATAAAGACAAGTGCGTGCTTTGACGGCAGAGACTTCTATACCTGGAGCTTTGAGCTGGAGCTGCTACTGCAAAACGCGCAGATTTATCATTATTTCGACGGAAGCTACTCGGGGCCTACGGAAGACACTGACGACGCAAAAACCAAGTACTACAACGAGTCCCTGATGGCGTATGGGGTTCTTCTGCGGAACATGTCGCCGACGGAGCAATTGAGCATTCGCTCATACAAGACCTCCCCTACTCCAGCCCTCAACGCCTGGCGCCACCTGAATGGCGTATACCAACCCAAGGACTCAGTGTCGTCGAGCCGCCTCCTCCAGCAGTTACTGGAAACAAGGATGGCACCAGGAGAGAAAGCCAACAGTTACCTGAATCGCTGTCGGAGTCTACGCGATCAAATCGCGAAATTGGGGAGCTCGATATCTGAGGAGATCTTCGTGAACATCGTGCTCCAAGGGCTCGGCCCAGAGTGGCGGCCCTGCAAGGCGCTTCTCCGACAGCAGGGGGTCATCTCGGAGGCCGCTCTTTGCGCCGCCCTCCTCGTCGAACAACGGGATATGGACCAGCAGCGATCAGCGCCACGACGAGAGAGAGAACGTCTCGCATTCTACGCAGCCAACACGGAAGAGCGACGACCACGGCGCCTCTACTGCAAGATCTGCAGAAATTTCGGGCACTTGGCGGATCGATGCAAGCATCGATCTCGCCCTCGCCAGACCAATCCGACCACTTGGTCCGGCCGACAAGACGCGAGAAACGACACGCGTCCCGCCCAGGGGTCTCAACCCCCATCGCGCAACCTGAATCCAACAACTCAGCAGCAGCAACAGCCACCACAAGCTGCCCCCGTCCGCAACGTCATGGGGAACATGACCATGACGAGCGGCTCTCGTCGCCCGCGCGCACGCTCACTCTCACCTGAGCCGGCGCCCGACCCAATCGAGGCATCTCCGAACAACAATCCATTCAGCACGCATCACGACTACAGCGACGACGACAACCAGGACTGGAATCTACCAGTCCCGCTGCTTGAGAGCCCTCCGCACGTACCTGACATGCGGCCGGCACCGATCGACTGGATCGCGCGCGAACAGTTTCTGAAGGTGGACACTCCACACATCGTCACTCCGCGACTGGCGCTGCTCGCGCGAAACGACAACAGGCGCTACAACAACTGGTACCTGGACAGCTGCTGTGGGCAGCATATGGTGGGCTCCGAGCGTTACATATCCAACGCCGTCCCCACTCCCGTCGTCACTTACGTCACAGTGGCGAACAACATGCGGCTGCGCGCAAGCGCGCAAGGTATCGTGGTGCTCAAGGCACGAGGGAGCCGAACGCACATCACACTTAACGACGTGTTGATTGTGCAGAATCTGCGCTTTAATTTGGTCTCGGCGGCGCAACTCCTGGATTGCGGAGTCATCCTCAGCACCGACCCCGAGACGCGCGACATCCTGCTCCACTTCACGATGCCGAACAAGAAGCGCAAGCAGATCGGACGGGCGCGCGCCGAGAACGGCGTATACGTTCTCGACTTCGACATTCCCGACTGCAGCGGCGATTCGCAGGAATTGATTGACCTCGTCCCCCTGCGCTTCGAACACATTCATCGCCGCGATTGGAAGCACCCTGATGGGCGCCCCTGGGTGCCACACCACTCACACCCCCGCGAGCTCGCGCTGCACGACCCCGATCCCGATGGCGTCTGCAGGGACTGCCACACACCAACGTCTTCGACGAGCGCGATCGCCGGCCGTGGCCTTGCCGCCATTCGCGAAACAGAGCGAGACGCACCGCCTGAAGAGGGTCTCTCCCAACTGGAGTTGGAAACAGCTACACGGGTCGTATTCGGCACACCGGAACACCCTCTTTCCGGACCCGCATCCCAGCATCTCCAAGGAATGCTCCGCGGCGTTGGCGTCGGCACCTTCGACGCGCACGGGAATCCCCGGCCCTACACCGAACGAAAGGCGGCAGAGATCTACTCTCACCGGCGCGATTCCAAGAAACGGCTCTCGCCCATGGAAGAAGAGACATTGGCGCAACAAGAAGCCGAAGAGCTTCGGCGGAAGAGCCTCGCCGAGGCACGCGGAACGCTCGCCTGGGAACAGGACGAGAAAAGCGCCTCCAATGAAGGGGGGTGGGGGAGCGCCGGCGGATGGGGAACGAGCGACACCAGCGGCTGGGGCGTCGCAACCGGCGGATGGGGCGCAGCAACAGGCGCATACATCGGCGGATGGGGCGCCGCACAAGGCGGCGAAACGAGCGGCTGGGGAGCTTTCCGCGAGGATCAAAGGGGGGAAGAGGAAGAAGAACCTGCGCATGCTGAGGTCGAACCTCCTGTTGTTCCTCTCGGACGACCTCCGCGCCGCCCTGCGCTAGGACCACCGCCGCCTGACATCCCTTCAGGTAGTGACCCCTGGGACACCATTGACTGGGGAAGTGAACCACTCACCCCGCGACGCACTGTCTACGGACCTGCCCCTGAACCACGCGAATCGGCGTTCGTACTTGGCACGATCCCCGGAACCAACATCCCCTACTCCATCATCCGCGACAGAGAATTTCTCGCCCTCATGCTAACGACGGCGAACGAAGAAGAGAACGAGGGAGCAGCGCCTACACCTGCACCGGCACCTGACGAAGACCCCGCAGCCGCACTGTAGCGCTACATGCGCACATCTGGATTCCGCGCCGACGACGCCATCTGGCATCAGCGCCTAGGTCACCCTTCGCGCGTGACCCTGAAGAACTGCATCGAAGCCGGCGTCTTTGCACCTGGCGCGCTGTTGCGCCCTGACGGCTCCGAAGTGAGAGGAGGGACTCACCCGCGCAGCTGCACTGTCTGCCCCGAAGCTGCGCTGAGTCACCAGCCCTTCCCCCTACTCGAGCCAGGAACCAATCGCTACGCCAAGCTTGAGAAGGTTTACAGTGACTTTCTCAACGTAGGACACTGCGGCATCAATGACGAACTCTACACACTCACCTTCGTCGACGCCGGAACGCGCCACGTGTGGGTCGTAAACGTGGAAGCGCGTAGCAGAGCCTACGAAGCATTCCGTCTGTGGCTGGCGCACGCGCAGCGGCAATCTGGGGAGAAATTGAAGATCTGGCAGTCCGATGGTGCGGCGGAGTTCAGGAGCAAGGAACTGCAGGATTACCTCGCGCAAAAGGGGATCGAGCATCACATCTCCCTCCCCTACGCGCACCAGCAGCAGGGCGTAGCGGAGCGCGCGAATCGCACCCTCATGACGAAGGTACGGGCACTAATGCGGCAGGCAAAGCTCCCGCCGATCTACTGGACCTACGCGATGCACCACGCCGTGCGGGTGCACAACCTGCTGTCAACCACCGCAATCACCGGGAACTCCTCGCCGCA